CCAATGAATAGCCATTGACTTAAGTGGCTAAGGTAGTAGTGATTTGTTATGCACCAGTAGAAAAGAACACAACCATTTAATAGGCTAGTATTGCTAATGGTGGATGATGGTGGTTGGAAAATAAAGCTCTACCGTCTTCAAAGGATTGGACATCTCTACTACTGGCAGTTGGAGGGCAAATGAAGGAGAAAACATACTATATCCATGTCTAGATACTCCTGCACAGATGCTGCAAACATCACTTACATATGCATTTTGGTGGTGGGAGCTAGTTACAGAGCTAAGCCTAGGTGAAACAGGCTCGGAATATGTAGTCCCAATTAAACTGCTTCCTTCCAGAAACTCATGTCATGGAAGGGAACTAAAAATTTCTGTCTCTATCAGAATGTTAAGATAATTTTATATCTCATTCCAAGTAGAATAGTAAATGTGATGATGGTATACATTCTAATTTGTGATACATGGAGAGAATTATATTTATATTAGGAAAAAAAGAGGTGCCCTTCAATATTGCATTATTAAATATATTAGATTATGATGAGATTCTGGGCAGTGATCTAGGCTCTCTCCACACCCAAAGTAGGTTCTTGCAGTGCAAGCCACAGCTTCCCCTCTGCCTCCTTTGTAAGACTGTTGGCAGGCTTGCACCTTCTCATCTCCAAGCAGGGAGATACCCTTGGGGCTCATGGAGGCACTGCTGGCCTGGTTCACAGTTCAAGGCAGCATGCCCTTCTCCCTTTCTGGTCTGAATCCTCAATGAAGACCTAATAGTTCAAGCATCTCCACTGCCTTTTCTCAGCTGCCCATCAGTGAAAACAGGACAGTTCTGACCCCCAGGACTGTAGCACCCATGGTGTTTGAAACAAGATTGACTCGTTTAGGGCGTTTTTTTCCTTCTGCATTTGAGTGCAATCCTGCTCTATTCATCCACTACAGAGGTAATCCAAATAGCTTCTCACTCGGGAACAATCAAGTTCAGTGAAGTAGTCTATGGAGAATTGATGCAAGAGTGAGTATAGCTCACTATATGCTCTCTGGTTTTATTTTCAAGGTAAATTTACTAGGATTTTAAACTTCTGAGGTTGATGGAGGAAGAATTAATTTGCTTTATATAAAAGTCCAAATTCTTTGAGGAGTATTTAACATAATTTTCTACATGATCACTCCTGCAAATGGTCTGCCCTATCCTATTTGATGGGATACAAGTCAAGATGAAAGGGTTATGTTTTTAGCACACATTCTTGTGTTCCAAAAGAGAGACAAGGCTATGGTGAAGACAAACAAGGAGAAGACCAAAAAAGGAGAAATGAATGCCTAAGGAAAGCCAGATATTCCCAGGAGGCTTGACATTGTCAGTGAAGTGGAATGTTCCAGAAGCTTCTGGGACAGTCATTGCTTCATCCCTTCCACATCAAGTGGCTGTCTGAGTTTGTTCAGGGTTTATTATGTCACAGTGACAAATTTCTCTTATCCCTCCCTGTCCCTCTTTCTCTTGCTCTCTTTTGTTCTCTTCCTTTTTTCCTTTCCCCCTTTTTTTCTCCCATGCTTTCTTTCATTTCCTCTTTTACTTTTCTTTTCTCTCACTTCTTCCTTCTTCTCTTTTTGTCCAGTGGGATTGTAAGGCAAGGAAAAGATGTAATACAACGACTTACAGGGTCTATTACTAACCTGAGTAAAATAACCCGTACAAAGGTAGAAAGGCCACTGGCAGAAGTTAAATAGCGCTCCCAAGATGCAGAGGGATGGCTCATGGGACTCTGGTCATGTCACACACTCATCCCAATGCCTTTACTGATTTCTTTTTATCTGGAAAACACTAAATGTAATAGTGTCCTAATTAAAAACCTAATGATCCTCTATAGTAAATGGCCCCAGCCCATTCCCCAAACACTTAACTTCAGTCACTTCCTTGAAGCCCACTATCTCATCATCAAAATATGTACTCTTTCCTGAATACAATTTAACTTTTATAGCTTTATCACACATTCTTATTATATAGCACCCTTCTTGATTTGCCATACCTTTCCTTGCCCATAACTCTATTTCATCCTACCACCTCTTCTGTGAAGGCGTCCCTGAGACTCATAGATTGAACTTTTCTTCACTCTAAATGTCCAGAGCTGTTGCCCGTGTTTCTATTTAGCATTTTACCAGATTGTTTTACATTCTTCCTACCCACTAACCTCTGACATCCTAAAGAGAAAGAAAAGAGGCTTCATCCACTGGCAGAGTCCGTCACATGGTTTGTGTTCACTGCTATGAAAGTGTTATGCTTTCATTTAGAAGGCCATCTAAAGCATCAGGTGGTTGTAGGGTGGGCCTTTTTCAAAGGTGGCTGGATCTAGAATGTGTGATGTTTTGATTGATTCATGATGCAATGCTAGGATCAAGGTGCTGGGACAAAGAGTGTGAGTGCTACCCACCCTGAGTAGCCTGGATCAGATACAAGAGGTAGAAAGAGTTGTGGTCAACCCATGTTGCTTTGCTACCTTCTGGCAACTGTGAACTGTTTCTTCTGTATCATGTTATTCTGCCTTAGAGACAACCATTATAGACTGAAACCTCTACAAATTGTGAGCTAAATAAAGCTTTCCTCTCTTAACTTTGGGCATTTGGTATTTTGTCTCAACAAGGAGAAAACTAACTAAGACAAAGGGATACATGTTATATAAAGTAAACATCATTGAAGTATAACTATATCCATAATGTAAAGGTATTAATTTAAACATAATGATTTTAGAGCTGGTTTAACTTTGAGCTTGGTTCAAAAGTTGTGTCCTTAAATTCTTCTAAACTAGGAGCTCCACTAATGATTTAAACATCTCAAAATACAGGAAGATGTGGAAAACTTATGTTTATGTTAATTCTATCAAGCAGACTTAAGGGATTTGAAGAGAAAGTTCATTTTGTTTCTCTGCTTCTTTCTCACTCTTTCTCTCTCCTTTTTACACACATAAAACACAGATATGGAGAATGTAAAAGACTAATCCATGAGTATCTTTAGGTTTTCATGTATGAAACTTTGAGATAGGCCTTTTGTTTTATAGTTTATTCGTATTTATAAGGGATGATAAAATAATATAAGTTTAGGGGTTTAATGTATAATAATAATAATAATAACATATTACTCTAATTTTGTCCAGTTTTAATCATATAGTTACATAGGGATACACATAATCTAAATCAAATACTTTATATAATTCTATATATGTGAAGCCTCACCAATATATAACGTTCTTCACTTCATTTGTAAATTTAAGTGTATCCTTTTAGAAAATGTTCCTTGGATGTCAATTTTTTAAAAATAATGTTCACAGGCACATGTGTGTGTTTGCATAAATATGAACGTTTTCACTATGTAGTGATGATACACATGTAGAGAGCTGAAGAGATCATGTTTACGTATGCTATTTACATAGAAAATATGCACACAATATATGTTCCATAATAGCCCTCTAGTTTCTTTATCCTTGGAGGACAGCCAATGGCTCTCAGATAATTCCACTGAATGCTATGACTCAGCCAAAGCACATTAAGGCAGCTCCTGCCACAGATGTGCTTAGCCAGTAACAGAAATCCCATACAATTCCAAGTCGAGTGTGTTCTATAAATTGTGTTCTTTACTCTGCTAGGATCTCTCCTGGCATTTATTTTGTGCCCTGGTGAACAATTTGGAGCCATAATGACTGACAAATTGTGCAAGGGATAGGGGTGGATATGTCATAAAGAAAGGAAGGAAGAGCGATAAGCTATAAGTTGAAAGGCATATTTTGCCATGGCTTGAGGCTTTTTTCAAGGAAATGGAAACTGTGTTAAAAATCAGCAGGCCATTGGGAGCTGGTTCGCATCTTTTGACATTGTTAGGAGTATTACAATCATCCCTTCCTCCGGGGATAATTGACTACTATGCTCAAGTGATTCCAGGATTTAAGGGATTTGAAGAAAAATGTGATTTGCAGCACTGTACTTCCAAAGAGCTTTTGTTAAAATGACCCCCTGAAATGTTGATCCAAGAAATGCTCTTGGGCTATTGCTTTCTATTCCCCCCTGCAGCGCCCTGCTGTCCAGTTAAACAAAGTGCTCTTGCATACTGCTCGGTATTCATTTATGTGGCTCGCCTCACTTTTATGTCATTTGAAGTCATACAAAATTTAAGCATTAAACTTTTCCTTTCTTTTCCTACTTTTTTTTGAAGTAAGAAAGATAGTCTTGATTTTCTTATTTGAAAGATCTTTATCTTAAGAGAACAGTAGACTGAATAGGCTTATACTATATTCAGAAACTCTGAGGGCAAGGAAGAGCACCAGTGGTTTGCAAAGGTCCTTTGGTAGTGATCATGCACTTCTGGGATTGTTATATTTATTCATCATCCAAGGATTTGACATTGGAATCCCTATTTTAAAAAAATTGTAAGGTGAGTAGTTGTTTGAAACTGCTGTCTGTCCCAAGTGAGAGCTACATTTCAAATGAATTCAAATGGTAGTGTCTGACAGTTTGGCCCAGAATTCTCATATGGGACAGTTATCCTATAAGGAGTGTAAGTTTTGGCATGCATTAAAAGAATACTTATTGAGTATAATGCATAGAATTACTTTTTCTGTACCACCTCTAAACATTTCAGTGAATACTGAATGAAGGTTACTCTCTGAAGAGGTTAAAGATGATTCGCTTAATTCCAGTTATCTCTGTGATGGTGTGAGACTCTGCCTATTTGGTAAAATAAGGAATTTGAAAACGTAAAAGGAGGACTGAAGGGGTTTGCCAGTTACACAGAAGGATCTGGTTCAATTTCCAGCCTCTGAGTGAGGTGGGAGGGTACTATAAAAGGACTGTTTTATTGTGCTATAGTAGTGTTGAGCACAGGTACTTTCATTAATGATTAACCCAACAGAGTCTGAGTTAACACTGCATAAAGGAAATTGAAACTCAGAACCTCTATGAAGCTTCTTCACTAGTTTTTGCTCTGAAGTCACATGAAAAAATGTTATTTTTCTCCGTAGGTTCGAACGAGTGTCCTATCTGAACATAATAAGGAATCCCCATCAGAAGTTGGGGTAAGTGTTTCTTACATTTCTGAAGACACATGCATTTTTTCTAAGTAAATTATTCGTATTTTTCTGCCCTCCTGTCTAGAGCTTACAAAAGAAGTAAAATGAGTAGAGTGTGACTATTCAAGGAAGCTTCATCACAAATGTTTAGAATTGCATGGAAGTCACTTCTTGTCTAATGAAACCCATTCTCAACAGAATTTACATTTAGTTCTACAGACTAGAGATGAACCTAGACACTGCCGTACAGGTGGCTGAAGTGCAATTTGTAGCCAACATTACTGGACCAATAGGAAGCTGGGGAAATTACTGATGTGGCCAGTAGGACTGTAAGAAGAGGGCAGAGAACCAGCCATAGGACCATGAAGTTTTCTATTCCCTGCCATTAAAATACTGAACTGCAGGTCAAGAGAGACTAATACTATTATTTAGTGCAGTGTTAGAAAATCCCACTGAGGCTTTCCTGCTGTGTGTAAACCATTGCATCTCTATCTTTCAAACGTTGGAAAAACAAGGTACTAGGTTCTTTCTGCTTAGAAAAGCTGGAGGTAGAGGTAATAACTCCTGAAAAGAATACATCCCAGTAGGCTCAGTCTCTACTGCCCATTCATTCTGAGAGAAGAAAGCCCTAGGACTGGGTCAACTGAAAGCTTATTTGAAATCCTACATGCTCTTGACAGCCTTCCTCCATTAAGTGTGTACAGCCTGGTAAGAGGTTCTATTTGGTTTTTTTATTTTTATTTTTATTTTTATTGATAGCAGTCTCTTCCAAACCTACTCAAAAAGTGCTCCAATAGCACTCTGAGGTGCAGTTCAGCTGAATGAGCCCAGTGTCAGCTTTTCTGAGCATCTACCAGTGAAAAAGGAGAAAAAGGAAGTAGGTGCTTATCCCAAGCACAGCTTCTAGTTTTTCTGGGGCCTGAATGAGCAATTCCTTGCACTTAAGTGAGGCTTTGTGATTTTCTCTGCCCGTTTCTTCAGCTGGTTATGTTCACTCATTCTCACCACCCAGCTCTGTGTTCACACATCTTGAGCCTTCTGGTAGATGCCCCATCACGTCCAGCAAGTCCCGCCAGCCATAGACCTCTCCAGCCTTAGGCGAGCAGCCCTGTTGCCTGGGCTGCTGCTCCCCCCACCCCCAGCTCCCTCAGGAGCCGCTCAGGGCTCATTTGCTCATTTGCCCTCCCCTTTCACCACCCAAAGCTCCTCCATGAACCCACATTCTCATCGCACCCTCCCTGTACAGTGCCTTCGTGAACCTAAAACCAAGTGAAATTTGTTACTATGGTAAGGCTAGTGATTATTTTGTCAAGATGTGTCATTTGCTTATTAAAGTTGAAGGAGAATGAGCATGTTTAATTTTTTCTTCTTTAACTTCTCATTGCCCCCAACTGTTCTTGAACCGCCCTGCTTGAAGATAATTATATGCTAATCTCACTGTATAAATTTCTCCTGTTGTTTTTCTCTCACTCAAGTTTTTAGTACTCTGCCTCCTCTGTGTTAAATGCTGAGTCTCTTCTCTGACTGTATTGTCTTCTGCTCCTTCTCCTGCAGTTTCTCACTACAGGTTCTCTTTACCACTCTAGCAATCTGCTGTGACAGGGAAGGAGTCATCCAGTCTCACAGGTGCTCTAGTCCTTCCTCCTTGTGTTCAGCTACTGTGGCAAGGAGAAAGGAATAGGGAGGCAGAAGCTCCTCTGTGTTTGCCCATGAGAGGGACATAGTTTCCTTTCTGCTGGTTTTGAGACCTTTTAGTCTAACTCTGCCCATCACAGTCCTCATTGGCAGATACTGAGATGCTGGCTTTCTTGTTGGGTACCTGTGTAGATATTTCTGGGGGCCTTGTCTGGTTTTCCCTACTGCCTATTTCTTGTGGTGGAAGATGGTTTTGGACCAACTTCTGCCATTGCCTACCTCACCCAATGCTCTCTTGCTATTGAGATGCCCTGGATAAACACATGGCCCCTGGTCAGCCACTTTCTGTGCTGTCCATGTGACCAATAAGAGTCGCATGGAAGAAATGCGAAGTGCCTCACTGGTGTTTCCTCTCAGCTCTGGAATTTCTCTGCTGAGTCTCTAAGCCCAAAAGGCATCAGGAACCAGATAGTCCATGATTGTCAAGCAGAGACAATTCCTGCTCCTCGGAGTAGGTAAAGATGATTTTGACACCTCCAAACTTTGAAAGTGATTTCCTTAAAGAATTAGATTCACTTAGCTTTGAGGACACCAGTGACTCCTGGGAAGATAAATAATAGAGATTAGCCTCATCTCCTAAATATTACATTTCCTAAAATCCTGACTTTCTCTCTTTTCTCCCTACCTTTATATTACCTGAATGTTTTGTAGCCATTTCTCTAAACTGGATCTTCATTAAGCATTATTAAAAAAAAACAGTTACTGGCTCCAAACTATGAAAGTTTTTTGAGCTTACATTGGAGTATAGCTGGTATGTCCTATCTTCATCTTTGACAAAGATTCAGCCATAATTCCAGAACCAAAAGGAAAGACAAAATACTGAGTTGCCATTCTGTGACACACCTGTGGCATCAACTAGGAGTGGATTCAGGATTCTGTAAACTGGCAAATGGGGGCTTAAAAGTAATGAGTCGGCTTTTCTCAGTGGGGGTAAATTTTACAGAGCCACAGCTGCTCAAAACTGACTTCAGTGATGAGATGCTGTCCATTCTTCTACTCCTCTTCCTTAGTGTACTTTCCAATCTGGCCATTACACAAGTGTGTATAACATGCCTGGTCAGGAGAATGACTAAGACCAGAAAGCTCAAGTCAGGTCACTCTGACCTTTCAATTATGAAAAACAATAATATTCTGGGAAACCTCACTTGATATATTGCCCCTTGCATGTCACTGGGAAGAATCAAAGATTTTTGTTAAGTGAAAACAAAGAGGTTAAATTATTTTAATATATTTTGTTTAGTCCAACACATACAAAACATTATTGTTCCAAAATGTAGTCAATACAATAACTAATAATACATTTCACATTTTTTATGCTAAGTCATCTAAATCTAGTTTCAGTTTTATATTGCGTAACATTTCAACTTGGGGTAACCACATTTAACATGCTTTGACTGACACTATTCACTGAGTAGTATGGCCCTGGCCAGTAGCTGGAAAAATTTGAGGGGCACCATACAAATTATAAAAGAAAGTTATTTTGTGAATAAAGATGTTGTGGGATAAACATGGGTGATGGAGATTTTGACAGGCTATGGCCACCCTGTAGGGCTTTAGCTCTTTCGATTTCCTTGCTGATGTCCAGGGAGTCTTTGTAGACCTGAGGCATGGTGCTGTCAAATCCTGGCGAGCAGTCTAGGTGTCTGTAATTTCCTCCAAGTTCCTGCAGAGGCTAGCAGGGCAAATTGTTTATTTGTATGCTTCCCTTAGAGCAGTCAGGGAAAGCAATAGAGGCCCTCCTTACCCTTTTGATAAAACCCTGCAGGTAGCTCAGTGATTGAAATCGTGCATCAAGCCATTTAATGATCATCTAACTTGGGGTCTGTGTGCCCGAGTGATAATTATGAGTGTTGCATGACGGCGAGCAGGAAAGGAGGGTGAGAGCCAGGTACTGTGCAGGCAGAGACCCTATCAGAGGAAAAGGAATTACCGCCTGCCCTGGAAATGAGGCACAGCATGATGGGGATAAAAGAATGCTGGGCCAAGAAGCAAGAAAGAAGCCCGGATTCTCATGGGTCTCCCTGCATTTGACATAGTTCTGTGAATGTAGATAAGCCAGGTGCCTCTTATGCACTCCTGTTCCTTCCTTTACTAACTGGTAATGCCTTAACAAGCTTTCACAGCCTGTAAATATTCCATGTAATTTAATACAACTTTAAGCTCTGTAGAATACTAGGTAGTATTTGCTCAACAATAATAACCATGTATCCTTACCAACTTTTTATTTGTCTGTCCTTTATCTAGAATGTCTTTTCATTTACATTTTTCCTGAATCTAATTTTAATTTTTACAAATATATTTTATGTATGTCCTGGAGGTATTTTCCCTTATCTTTTTTTTCCTCGTCTTTTTAATGTTCTGGTTTTCTGGAACATTTAAGGTAGGTGAAGATACTTCTAAGGCATCTGAACTCTAGGTCCGTTTATTAATCACTGTGAAAACTAATATTTATAGTATTCTTCCTGTTTTCCTGTCAGTGAACCAAGTGCTTTGCTCGGATTCCTATAATGTTCAAAGCAATAACTATGAGAATGGCCCAGTTATTATGTAATTTTTAAAGGCAAAAAGTAAGGCCCAAGATAGTGGAGTAATTATTCCAAAAATATTTACATCATAAGGAAATGACAGGGCCCAGTGATCACTATCAGTGTGTAATGAGCCTGGAGCTGAAGGAAGTAATTAAATTTTCCATATTTCCACTTTTAGAATCACACTTCAAAGTTTCCTTACTTTTTGTTATCTTTTTCCTCTGATAGTAACGTCACCAAAAGAGATATGGAAAATATCATCTCTTGAATTACATTTGAGATATTAAAAAATACGACAAGTTCTCTGAAACTCCATAATTGTGATCACAGTGACAGCAAACACAGAATAGCTTTCTAATAGTATTCTTTTGCATTTGTGTTATGTGCTAGTTACCCTTGTATTGGATCTTAGTATGAAGACTGATTTCTCTCTAATTCATTGTCTTACAGTGTGTCCAGTGGGTATTCATTTAGGTGATGAGATTGTCTTCTAGTGTTGGAGGTGGGAAGGGTCCTAGTTTTATGTTTAGATTGAGATGAAGCAAACAAATGAAAACATCCTGGAAAGTAAATATATGGAAAATCCCATTTTGGGGGTGTCACACTGTAAACACTCATATACTGTTTTTTAAACTTGGGGATCTTCTTAGTGGGTTTTACCCAACATGGAATCCCAAGGTACAATTACTTTTGGAGTGAATGATATAACATTTGTATACATATAACACTTCGTCGATGTGAAAAGCTTTCATAATGTAATTCTGTAATGCCATTACCAAAGTTGATTTTTTTTTTAACAGATTGTATTATTTCTGAAGGTTCAAGTACTAGTCACTGGGACCAAGCATTTGACTAGTAGTCATGGTAGGAAAGTTTCACGTGTGGTCACAGTTCCTGGCACAGTTCTGGTGGAGGCTGCAGTCCTGCCTCCACCAGAGCTCCTGGTCTGGTGGGCAGGAGACGCATTCAGTGTCTTGTGGTCATCAGTTTTACTTGCAGCTGTGCCTTATGGTGTGTCTGTAGCTTACCTCTAAAAATAACCCATTCCACCTGTCTCCAGTTGCTACATTCCACTCCTGGGTGTTTGCTGCTTTGTTTTGCTGAAAAGACCACAATAATTTCATGATGTGTGCAGTTTGGTTTATTAATTTTAAAGTCAGCCATGCTTTCAAAACCTCAAAAAGCAAACAGGAAATAATTTAAAATTTAACAGGACATTGTAAAGTTTGTGATCTATTTTTTCTACTGCGAATAATATGTGAAAGACAAGAATTTCAACTAAAAACACTGATATCAATGAAGCAAAGTAAGACAGACATCTCTTTAAAATGCAAAACGCCAAAATGAAACTTACTAAAATATTATATAGTCTGCACACTAGAAAATTGTTTTGCTCTCTCTCATTTCAGAGAGTTACGGTAGTTTCTAAATAACTGCAAAATGAGCATTTCTCCAATGTGTAATAGAATAACTTGCCTAAAGCTGTATCAGTGCCATTCATTCATTCACTGTCAGTAAATACTGAAAATTTTTTCACATGCCTACTGTGTGCCTTACAGAAAGAGTTTATTGAAAATAAATAAAGCTCCTTCTGGAGCTTCTTGCCTCCGTTATTTGTCGTAGATAAAATAATCATCAAATGTACAACATTGCCAATGGAGAAGAATAAAACAGGGTAGGAGGTGGAGAGGAGCAGAATGTGGAAGTCAGAGAGGGTGCTCCTTTGGACAGTGTGTTCTAGAAGCATCTCTGATGTGGTCCTGTGGGTGTTTTTGCTAGTGGGAACTCCACCAGGAGCTCTGCCACTTGATGAAAAGTCAGCACAATTTCTGTGTATTTTGTTGATTTACCCTTCTATTTGCTTCTCTGCCTTATTTCACTCTCCTTGTATCGCTCATCAAATCTAGTTTCACCAGTTTCTTCTCTATCTGCTAACATATTTGATTTAATTGAAAGGGTTTATCATTAATAACAATAGACCTCCCCAACTTCAGAAGTGAGTTGATTTTCAAATGTTTATCTTTATACCTTTTGAATCATTTACTTTAGAGTTTGAAAAGAGGTGAAATGTTCTGAGTTAAAAGATTTTCTTTTTCGTGGTCATGTTCAACAGAGGTTCAGTGTACTCAATCCTCTTTATATATGGAATGAATTACTATTTTCTTCTGAAAATATTAGGAGGCCTCGGATCATTTAAATTCAGCTTCTCATTCAGCAGTAGTCCAGAAGCAAACCTAGAATGTTCTGGAAGAGATAGCCTTGACTTTTGTAGAATATTACATGTAGCCAGGCAGCAATGACATAGGTAATAATATGGGTCTCATTGGCCTGATGAAAGAATGAGAAATATTCTATATTATTTATACCTTAATATTATGACTTTTAAACCAGAAGACCTTTAAAACCATGGAAGCTTTTGATTCTGAGAGAGCAAAAAATTAGGGTTTTATTGTTCACATTGACTCAAAAAGAGTACAAGGCAAATATCCATAGGGAAGAAAACACTCCATCTGATAAGTTTAAAAAGCAATTTTAGAAAATGTAACTGAAAAAATTCCATTTTTGTGTGTATATTGGAATGAAATTGCCCCATGGTAGTAAAGAAATAACAAAGGAAACAAATGCTTTTAAATGTTTCTGGGATGGGGGAGAAATATAGCGTTTCTATTTATAACTTGTCCAGAGTCCCACATAAAAATAGCTCCAAGAAACAGATTTGTTCATATCTGGAATACAGTCATTGCTGTCAGGGATTTCAGGAAGTCTAATAAGGACGGCAGCATTGGTAAATATTGAACGACTATCATCTTTTCTTCCACCGTAGTCTTTATGGGGAGAAAAATCAGTTAGTGGAAAAGTAGCGGGTGCCGTATTTTACATCTTGTTATTTTCCAGGCCATTGTTTTCCTTGCTTTTAACAGCAGTGATGCATTGTCACCCCTCAACCCCACCCCATTGGGGAGATATATCATGGATAGTTGTATTTCTATCAGTGAAATATTTGTCAGGCTAATAGAGTCCATCTTTGATTCTTCTAAAGACTGATTTTGTGTAATTGGTGTGACAGGAGAAATGTAAAGTACCCTGGAAGTTAATGAAAACCATTCGTTTTTCTTATTTTTCAGAGAAGCTTCTTGGGATATGCAAGTTTTAAAGTGGGGGAGCTACTGAAGTCCAAGGAGCAGCTGTTATCCTTGAGCCTGAGGTGAGTTTTGTTCACAGAACACTGTTACAGTTGGAAATGTGTGATGTATGTTGATTGTTGGCTTCACTTCTAAGTCATCATTCTTGCAGATGTTGGATGTCAACTCGTGAATAGCTGTGTTGCCACTGTGACACGTTCTAGAAACAGCAGTTATTTCAGTTCATACTTCAGCTTACGAAATGGTATTAGATCTTGATGGAAAATAATATTATGCTGTCATTACAGTGATGAGATTCTTTGACAGAAAAATATAAGTTATGGCCATGCTATTAAGTAAATTTTCAAAATGTTCTCTTGAAAATAAGTAAGTTTTTTGGTTTTGATATTTATTTGTTGCAGACAACATTATTGTTTTATGATAGTGGAGAATGATCTGAATTTCAAAGCATTTTTGTTGCTGTAGTGTTAAACACAAAATATGTGTATGTTAAAGCTGACTTACTGCAACAGGCGATCATAATTATTTTGAGTATAAGAACAATTTCTTTGATATTGAGCATGAAATTGAGTATGAAAAAACTGGTCCTTGGGAAGTTGCAGAGAATCTTAATACTAAAAAGAATATTTAATACGTCAAATACTTTTAGAATTTACAACAAATTTGAAGCTGATATTCTGTTATTCCTAATTGTATAACTTTTTTTGATGATACACATTTGGGAAATACTGTTCTACAATATTTGTATAATATGGACAGCTAAAAATATTATGGGACACGATCAACTTTAGAAGCTTTTGTTTTAATGGAGCATGAAGACTGTTTTCAGGACCTGGACAATGGCTTACATTTGTTTGTCCCTTCTTTTCCCAAGGACCCGCTTCCACCAACAATTTATTTGATTCATGATGCTGAGGCTTATGCTGGAATTTATAATTCTGGGTTCTCTTTTTATGGCTTTTTTCCTTTTTTGTTTTAGTCCTTACAGCTCTTCATTTTGAGTTTATAGTATGATATTTAAAATAAATCATATTCTAAGCAGAAAGATAAGTGTTGGTGTGTTCTAATAAGCCTTCGTTTGGGTGATGTCTTAAACATCTGGCAGTGACATATTTTGTTTGGTAAGATACACAGAATTTTTTGTAGTTTTGTGTTCTGTTCCCCCATTCTTTTTGTTGCTGTTACTATCTTCTGTTTGAAGTATAAAATGACCCATTCTAAAGGCTGTCAGTGTCATCAGATATCCTAGAACAAACATGGGGACTGGCCCGTATGCTCTTAGTTCATGATTAAAAAACAAAACAAAACAAAACACTGTCTTACATGAACTCAGAACTACTAACTGCCTGTATGTTTTCTAGATCAGATTTCTTCTTCTTGGTCACTCACAATCATTAACCTCAACAGCATATTACATGATAGTGTACTATTGTGACTCTGGTTTCAGACAAGAATCAGGGTACCAGAAATTGTTAGTGAAATGAAAATTAGTGAACAACTTCAGTGCTTTAGACAAGAATACAACAGAAAGACCAAGGTGAGGCTTACATTCTTTGAAAGAAAAATTAATATGAAAACCTCAGATTCTGATGAAGATATTTTATATTTGAATACTTTAATCCTAGGCATTTGGTCTTCATCATATGAAAGAAAGACAAATTAACAATAAAGACTTGAGTTTTGTAAAAAAAAAAAATGCTAATTTTATCAAACCAGTTTTGAAATGACTAGGATATTTTATCTTTCCCTTTTTTATTCTTTGCCAAATTTGTGGACCTGCCATGTTAAAATTTATCATAATCTTCTGATATCTATTCCCTGGTTTGTGGTTGTTGTTTGCTTGTATTTTCTAAAATTTCTGCCTCAGTTTATCTTCCTTCTATTGACTATTTCTTAGACACCAAATTGAAAACATATTAGGTCAGGGGTAGGAGATACCTTTTTATTTCTAAATATTTATTTGCATTAATATTTTCTATATTTTATTGCTTTAATATGCCAATCATTACTTTTAATACAATAGAATTAATAGATTTGCATAAATGAAGCAATTTTCATGTGCTATTCTAGGAAGATAAAGTTGTTTCATTTTTTTAGGGCAGTTTGGCTATATTCTCTTGGCTATGCTTCTCACTGGCTCATTCACTTTTGCAAGCTACCAACTACAGTAGTTTTCAGAGAACCCCAGTTTCATGTGGTTACAGTGCTATGTTGAATGTGTTTTAAACTGGAAATACTTTTCTTGTGTAAGAAAATATGAAAGGGCAAGAAATGTGCCTCTCGATTTACATTCACACTTCATGAATTATAATGTTCTGTATATTTAAAATTATAGAGCAATGTTTTTGCATATACTTGGGAAAGTGATTGCAGTAAATAAAGTGGTATCTACTTATATAAATCATCTTCATATATGTGCATAGTTTACTATCTTTCTGTCTGAGTGCCCTGGCATCCCATATGGGGTTAGTATCTTTATTATTGATATCTCTGCCAGTATATTATATCTACTTTATTAGTTGGCATTTCCTGTCTCCTCTGATTTCTTTTATAGCTCAGTTCTATTCTCTGTTCTGTACTTTGGTTCATTGCTATATAGTCTTGAATTTTGTGTTATAAAGTAAATAAGGCAGAGTTCTTAAAGAATTGTATAATTTTAGGCACAAACGGCACTGGGCAATCTTACCATAATGATAATAATGATCATAATAGTGAGGGAAAAAGCAGGAACAACAACGTATTATGTGCTTTATGTTCTCAGAATATTAGAGACGTTGCACTGACCCTTATCAAACTAACCTGTGGTGCAACATTTTATCCATTTCATAAATCAAACTGAGATGTAGAAAGTACTTAAATAATTTGAACAAAGCTGTAATAGTCATAAATAGGAAAGAGAAGGCATAAAGTCCGTGACTACAAAACCTGTGATCTTAATGAACCACTTCCTGTCCCCTTCAGCAGAGGTTAACACTGAAAGTCAATTTCACAGGTTATTGTTAGATGATAGCAACAAAGGACGGGCTTCGGGTTAGAACCACTTCCTCACTGTTTGTTTCAGATTGGATTTAATCATATACCTGGCCCTGTAGTACGTGATGAATAACTGAGCGATAGCATGCCATGGATAAGTTGGAAATGGCAGAAACTGGGAGGCAGCCTTCAAGATTAAAGGAGAGTGAAGATTGAGGGAGATCTGTGAAATCTATTCTCATTTCTGAACCATGACATTAGCAGGACTGGGTGTACGGACAGATTTTTTTGTCCCTGAGACACAATACCATATAACCACAACTCAAAGCAGAGAGGTTTAATTTAGCTCACAGTTTCAGGACATTCAGTACGCTGTGGGCAGGCTCCAAGGCAAAAACATCATGGTGGAAGGGTATGGAACAGCAAAGCCACTTAGTTCAGGGCAGCTAGAAAAGAAAGCAGGGGAATAGAGTCCTTCAGAGACTTGGTAGGGGTGGTGCATAGTACCTAAGGCCACGCCTTCAGTACCCACACCTAAGAGCACGCCGAACTGATCTACTAGATGGTTTTCAATCCATCATCAGGAAAACAGTTAAATCAGGATGAACTCTCGCACTTGGTACGGTTTACTGCCTAAGCACGTAAAAATCAAGAACTCTATCTGCTTTAAATGTCTTGGTATTGTACAAGCACAGCTTTGAGACAGCATAATACTATCTTATGATTTAATATCAGAATAGAAAAGTCAGATGTGGAACTGGAATGATACTGGCTGCCAGGGGAAATCACTTTGTTCTTAAGTATTCAAACAAGCATAAAGGCGAAACAACAACAGAATTAATGAAAAAAGTGAAACTTCTGGCCCTTTCCAGCAGGAGGAAACAGTCGGAAGTGTTTTAGCCCTGTCTAGACTTTGTTGTGTGCGCTCACAGTATGAATTCACTTAGGGCTGCTTCACTGGGCAAACATACTAAGAATCTGTCATATGCTAGCAACACCGGCGGGTTCTTCACAAAGTTTGAAAAATGGCGATTGATGTTACCGATAGCATGTTTAATAAACATTTCATTATTTACTGAACATCTACCATCCTGCAGGAACGCTGTTGGATAGATTTAAGCTTTAACTGATTTTATCCACGTACCTTTAACGTCCTGCTTCATAACAACTTGTAGGAGACCTCACAGTTAATGAATGTGAAAGTGTGAATGAAGCACAGTTAAGTCTTAGCTTAAAGCTTTTCCTGTTTCTATTTTACTGCCTCATGGGAATCATTACTATCTTTTATGTTTTAAATTCCATCAATTTAGGGGCCTCAGTTTTGTAATGCTTTATCTTAAAATTCAATTTCATGTGCCTGCAATATAGTAGATTTACACTCTTTATTTGTTTGAATTTTGATTCATGATGATGGCTTCCTTATATTTGTATAGATGTTATATGTAAATCTAGCATCAAGAATGTATTTCTGGGTGCAATCCATCTAAATTGATGAACTAAATGCTAAGCATTAGAGTGTGTATGAGACAGTTAATTTTCAGAGTAACAGTGAGTAATACCATAATCTTAGAAAGGTGAAGAGCGTGCCTAGAATCCACATGCATTTCAGCATGGGACACTTTACTTTAAGCCTTTACCTTTCACAGAATTTCTCAGGTGAATGTATTTTTTTTAAACAATATTAGTACATATTCATGGTGCATAATGATTATGTTCATGATGCATCTTAATTCTTTGTATCTCCTTCCGCTCTCCTCCTTCTGCTTCTGTCTTATATATATATATATTATATATATATATTATATATATATATTATATATATAATATATATATGAGAATATATATATATTGTATATATATGCAAATATATATGTATATATATATATTCATATACATACACACGTATATGTTTGTAGTACATGACAACCATGTTCATTTTAGGAACTTGGTACATGTACACATCACAATTTTCCTTTTTTAAAAGGTTAATTTCTTTTCTCTTCTTCCCTTTCCCTTCCTCTCTTGGTTCTCTTCTCAGGTGCTAAATATCCATCTCACTATACCCTATTGTCTATCTTTATTTTGCTCT